AAAGAGGAGTGGATCAAAATCCCTCCTGAGGTGTGTGCAGACCTGGTGACCAACTACAAGAAACGTCTGACCTCTGTGCTTACAAACAAGGGTTTCTGCACCAAGTACTAAGTCATGATTTGCTTGGGGATCAAATACTTATTTCACTCACTGAAATGCAAATCAACTAATAACCTTTATATAATGTTTTTTCTGGATTTTTTTGGTTGGTATTCTCTCTCTATACGTTAAAATAAACCTACCATAAAAATTACAGACCCTTCGTTTCTTTGTAAGTGGGCAAACTTACAAAATCAGCAGGGGATCAAATAAATATTTTCCCCACTGTATATAAAATTATAGGGGTGCATATACACACACATACACAGGCTGACCTGCAGGGCGGCACTCTCTGCTGCGTTACAGGGTCACACATGGGCACAAGCACCGTACACGCAAAGAACATGAGATATTTGTAGCAGTTTGTCTGAACGAGTGCAGGAAAGAGCGAGGACTCCCAGCTCACAGACGTCTCCTTCTGAGAGTGATGACCCAGATAGTTGGGAAAGCGGGTGGAGTTATAGGGCAGATTCATGCAGATCTCCAGAGAGATGGGCTCACAGCCACCTGACACACACACACACAATGGTGTCAAAGTACCATTGTGACACACAAACATTAACACTAAATCTAAAGCAATCATGGGAAACTGTGCAGCGCTCTGTGTTTAGCTAGAGGTCAGAGGCCTGTCGTTTCACTCACTGCAGTTGTTGCCAGTGTTGCGCAGGTCACATGACGTGTTTCCATGACAGCCAGAGGAGCAGGAGGTTGAAGTACAACTGGACTGACCAGGAGGACACAACCCCTGAGCTGAGAGACAGAAAGAAAGTTGTGAACAATAACTTGGAAGTTTTTAGAATTGCATGGAAAAGCAGTATGTCCAGCTATAGACAGGCTCTAAAAGCTGCCAGGGCCGAGCATATCCACAAACTCATAGAAAATAACCAAAACAATCCAAGGTTTTTATTTAGCACAGTGGCTAGATTAACAAATAACCAGACGCCACCCGATCTAAATATTCCCTCACAGTTTAATAGTAATGACTTTATGAATTTCTTCACTGATAAAATAGATAACATCAGAAATAAAATAACAAATGTAGATTCTACAGCGTCTAATACTTCAGCTTCATTCATCGCACCAAAAGATAAACTGCAGTGCTTTACAACTATAGGACAGGAAGAGCTAAATAAACTTATCACTGCATCTAAACCAACAACATGCCTGTTAGATCCTGTACCCACTAAATTACTGAAAGAGTTGTTACCTGTAGCAGAAGAACCGCTTCTCAATATTATTAACTCGTCGTTGTCTTTAGGTCACGTCCCAAAACCATTCAAACTGGCGGTTATTAAGCCTCTTATTAAGAAACCACAACTAGATCCTAGTGAACTGGCAAATTACAGACCCATCTCAAATCTTCCGTTTATGTCTACAATTTTTGAAAAATTTGTGTCTGTTCAATTGTGCTCCTTCCTGCAAAAAAATGATCTCTATGAAGAATTTCAGTCAGGATTCAGGCCCCACCATAGCACAGAAACTACACTTGTTAAAATTACAAATGACTTACTTCTTGCTTTTGACCAAGGATGTGTCTCAATACTAGTTTTACTCGATCTTAGTGTCGACACTATAGACCATGACATACTCTTAGGCAGACTACAAAATTACACTGGTATTCAGGGACAGGCATTACGGTGGTTTAGATCATACTTAGCAGACCGTTACCATTTGTCTACTTAAATGGTGAAAAATCCAAGTTAACATCAGTAAATTATGGGGTGCTGCAAGGATCCGTGTTAGGCCTTCTGTTATTTTCAATATACATGCTGCCACTTGGCAACATTATTAGAAAACATGGAATTAGTTTCCACTGCTATGCCGATGATACTCAGTTATATATTTCATCACGACCAGATGAAATTTCTAAACTATCCAAGTTGGCAAGTTGTGTTAAACATATAAAATATTGGATGACCAGTCATTTTCTCCTATTAAATTCGGATAAGACAGAGATATTACTTATTGGACCAAAAGACAGTACACAGAATCTCTTGGATTACAATTTGCAACTAGACGGATGTACTGTTACTTCCTCTACAGTCAAAAATCTGGGTGTTATATTAGATAGCAACTTGTCTTTTGAAAATCATATTTCCCATGTTACAAAAACAGCATTCTTCCATCTTAGAAACATTGCCAAGTTACGAAACATGATACCTGTTTCTGATGCAGAAAAGCTAGTTCATGCATTCATGACCTCTAGACTGGACTATTGTAATGCACTGCTAGGTGGTTGTCCTGCATCTTCAATAAACAAGCTACAGGTAGTCCAAAATGCAGCGGCTAGAGT